GACAATAAGTTAAGGAAAATGGTTTTGGGATATTCTACTGCTAGACAATAAGTTAAGAAGAATAGTTTTGAGATAATTTTTTTGTGTCATATTTTTATAAAATTTAATATATTATTTAATAATTAATTTTTTTATTTTAATGAGACTCATAATATTATATATTTGTTAACTTAATGATATGAAAATTATATAAAAAATTACTTTTATAACACCCTTATAATAATGCTAGCAAATTTTTTCTTGCTTAAATATTATGAATGAATATTGGATGAAACAAGTTTAATTTCCTTTAAGTAACATTTTGAATTTAAATATTATAAATAAAGGAATAAGTATTGAAAGAGCTCTTCTATTATAAGATCCAACATAATTTAATTTTAAATTAATTTAATATTTAATATAACTTCTAAATATCAAAAATTTAGTAAAAAAATAAGAATTTTATTTAATATTTTTGGGTTCCAACTAACCAAATTAATGGATGGAAAGACTTGCTGTTGTTATGGCACAAGTAATTGTTAGGATCACACAATTTAATTTTTATTTTATTAGTTTATATACATTTTTAAAAATATTTTATTAAATGTTTGAAAATATTTATTTATAAATTAATTTTTATTTATTAAATAATAAATATCAATAATTTTATTAATTATTAATTATTTTTAATAAAATTAAGATAAAAATTTAACAATGTATGTAATCCTATCAAATTTAAATGTAATCATAACCATTAGGGGTGTTTGTGGTTCTAATGGATTAATTTTTAACCATTTTCCTATCCAACTCAACTTAATCGGATTGAAAAAATGTCAAACTAATTCAATCCAGTTAATATATTACAACTAAGCCCATCTAACTATTATTAAATTGGATTGGTTCGGATTGGATTGGTCAGTTTTGTCCAAAAAAAATCATTTCTAAGGGTTTGATTTTACTGCTCTTTCTTTCGTAAATTTCAATTATACAAAAACAAAAGCATGAGTTAATTGTGTAAAATATACAATTATACCTTTTCATTGGAAAAAAAATCAAATACATTTTTTCTTAAAAAGTTCACAAAAAAATCACAACCATCAAAGAAAATAATCTTTTATTTATTTATTTTTTTTTTGTTATAAAAAAAAGTAATCTTTATTCTCTAATGGTTGCTGCCCAACTTATGGTTGGTTGTGCACCTATGTAATAAATAATAAATAACGACAGACTTACAGTATTGTCATATATCTTAATCAACTTATGCAAACTTAAAATAATTATATAACTTAAAAGAAATCCCAAATACCTATAAGAATCTAAGAATAATATGGACAGCAATTGGCAATATTTAAAAGATCAAATCAAGATAAGGGTATAGTAGATGAATATAAAATATATCGTGTCTATAAATCTTAATAAACATAAGAAGAGACTAATGGCCTTAAAGTCTGAATATGGATATCAAATGCAACAAGCTAGCAATTTAAGGCAATTCCAACATATAAGAAATGGAAAAAAAAAAATTGGATTAATTCTATTAAAATTAGATTATCGGCTTGGTTTGTTTTTCTTAGAGCAAAACTAATAATCAAACCAATTTAATTCGATTCTACTTTTTTTTTAATCTAAATTAATTCAATTAAATAATAAATTTAATCAATTTTAAATTAAATTGAATTGGATTAAATTTGTTCGAATTAATCGAATTGATTTGAATATAAACACTCCTGATAACCGCCACTGAAAAGACTACATTGTAGTCTTAAAGGTAGTAAAAGGTTGTTGAGAATCTCTAGGCTTTCGAGATGGACTAGAAATTGCAATTGACAAGGGATCACTAATCTTATTCTCGAAATTGATTCTAACGCCGCAAAAAATTCTCATCGATTCTGCTAATTCGGATTAACATTTATGTGATTCATTGATTGCTAATTGCAGGTCCCTAATAAAGAGGTTTGCTGACTGTATGATTAGCCATATCTATAGTGAAGCAAATGAGGCAACAGATTTTTTGGCAAAAGTTTGGACTTTCCTCTCCTATTGACTTCGTTATTTTGGATGAAAGCCCTCTGGAACTCTCTTTTTATGTTGTACTCGGACTCTATCGGAACTGTGTTTTCGCTTAGTTGCTATCCATTAGCTAATCTACATATTTCTCTTATTTACCAAAAAAAGGAAAAAAGAAAAAGTCTTAAGGTTGAGGATGAATTTGAAAGTAACTCTAAATATTAAGGACAAAAAACAATACTAACCACAACCGAAATTGATTCATGACAAATCAGTTAGCCATATGAATCGGCCCAGAAAAAAGTGGATTGGATCTTCTAAGGCCCAGGATCCTAAATCCACAAAAGGCCCGACTTCTAATTTTTTGACCTTCCTCAACACCTCAATTCAAAACCCTGACCTTTTTTTTTGAAACGCAAAACCCTGACTTTTAAATTTTAATTAGCAAAAGATTCAACACTTCTCTTTTTTCTTTCCTTTTTCTCTCTCTCTCTTTTTTTTTCTTTTTTTTTAATCGGCCAAAAAGGGACACAAAAGATTCAACACCTCAACTTCAAGTTATTCATGCAGAGACACACATTCATGAGATTATAATTATTGTATATACATACCAAGAGATACATAGACTGCCAAGTGTAACACAGGAAACCATTTACAAAATGTATTTTTGCAACAAATTTAAAATAACTACATAAAATTAGCAGAATGAACCATTGGGATTATAAATCAATCATCAACATAATAACCACACAACATTATCCTATCAATCCATGAACAATTATATAACGCACCTCAATGTCAAAGTCCCACCGGTTGAATAGCTTAACATCATAGTCTCGAACGGTTTCTATAGCGGGAGCCACAGCAGTTTCCATACCTATACATAGGCACCGACACGGTAAGAAAGCAAGCAGCAGCAACAATGTTAAACCATGACCTATTGCCTCAAACACTATGGAAATTATTAATTTGGCACAAGTAAATTATCTCAAGATGCAGCAAATGGACCAGGTACTTAAGTGAATAAAGAATTTACAAGCTCCATCATTTTCACGGCAACTAAACAGAAAAGAATTCATGCAATTGGAATATTTAAAGCATGTCTTCACCAATCTGCAACCATTACTCAGCAACCAAACGGAAAACAAACTACATCCTAACACGGAAATGAGACTAAACAAAATCTATATGCATGAAAAATAAAGCAAATCAAAGCATAAAACCAGTAACAAGCACGGAGCGTGAAGAAAACCTTAGTAAGAGGAGAGCTGAGGCGAAGAGCAGAGGGAGGGAGAATGCAGAAGCTACGCCGGCACTACCTCTTGGTGGGTGTTGGAGTTGGAATGAAGGGAGGAAGGGGGAAAAAAATAGGGGTTTTTCGTCCATGCCAACCCGCCCATACTAAAGTTTTACGGATTTAAAGCCCAGTTGTTTTGCAGGCTAGACTTGGAAAAGGGCCGGTGATACCTGAACCATCCTTTCAATTTTTTTTTTAAAATTTTTTATTTTAGTTGTCCCATCCTATAATTTTTTTTTATTTGAATCCCATCGCATACATTCTAAGAACAAGGGGAAGGCCATATGAAAAAAAATAAAAAAAAGAATAAGGGAAAACTGATACACTGATACTTACTAACTCAAAAAGTTTTTCCAAGCAAAATTAGAGATAGCAATTGCCCCCATGAGGTTGGGACATTCTCGTTCTTGCAAATTACAGAGACAATAATTCCTATGGAGATTTTTATGAAGGCAAATTTTTGGGAGGATCTTGTGCCTACACAATCTATGTTACAATATTAATTTAACTATTTTTGTTTTATTACTTTAAAACAAAATGTTTTTAAAAATTGAGTTAATGCTAAAAAATGTATTAGGTTGGGTTTGATTTAAAATAATTAAACTTTAATATTGAATTAAAATTAAGAATGATAAATAGGTATGATTTATGATTATGAGTTAAATATTTAAATTGGGTTAGATTTATGTTATGCAACTTAAACTTAAAATCATTTAGTTCTACTGAAAGAGATTATCATTAAATTAATTAAGTTGTTTATGATTGTGAAATAGCTTTGCATTACATGTTTTTGAGTTTATGGAAAAATTTAGTATCTTTCTGTTTGTTACAGTCATACTCAATTGACTAAATTAATGCTAAAATTTTTGGTATTAATTCTAAGAGTAATTTTCTCTTCAAATTTCAACGAAGACCCTTCTGGGTGTAGTGAGTGATTAATTTCGGTGGAAAAACTTTGTTACTCAATAAGGCACTTACTTTCAGCCAATTTAAATGTGACTTTCATTGACATGTTCATGAGTTTTCATGTCTTCATTTTACAATTTAACCTAGTGTACTAAAAGATATGATTGATACATAGTTCAGCGTATGGATTTTGTATTAGATGTAGAAGTGCCCTTGCACTACATTTTAATTAAATCTTTATTTGGCTGATAAAAACAAAAAAAAAAAAACAAAAACTTACAAAGGCTTTGTTTTATTTAATTAATTTTTTTTTATCTTGAATACACAATAAGAGATAATAATTTCTCATTACTTATTTCATTCCACTCACATGTTATGTGATTTGAACTTATAATCTTTTATTTTCAATAAAAAAAGATTACCATTGGAAAGAAATTGCTATTAAGCTACTTAAGTTGTTGGCTCATTTAATTAATTTAGTTGTTTTAAATCAATTATAATTAATAAGTAATATTTAACAAGTAATAATATTTAAATTACAAATAATAATAACAAATATTAATCATTAGAGATTTCGTTGCAATTATAAATAACAAAAATATTAATCATTAAGTATCCTCCATCATATAAACGGTTTAGAACAATCAAACCAAACAAAGTTTTTTAACCTTTGCAAACTATGATCCGCCATTCTATGTACCTACATGAGTTGTTTTTTTTTTTTTTTCAGAATCTTTTAACCTTTACAAACTATGATCCGCCATTCTATGTATCTACATGGGTTTTTTTTTTTTTTAATTTATTTATATTGAGAATTTCTTGTGTCAATTTTTATGTACACTGAGATTAATTTTTACCAAAGTAATCTTAAAGGTCCACTGTTCACGTCACTTGATACATTTAAAAAATAATAATTTCTTTAAATATTACTCTAAAACTTAAATTTTAAACATAATTTATAAAAGCACACTTGTTTAGTAGTGAATCTAATATTTGGTTTTACTACCAGCTTATCAGCTGAACTTTGGGTTTACTAATTTGTTTGTTGTAACTGATTCTAGAGTTGCCCGGCTTTTACTTAATGCCCCTAACTGTTCATTCCGGCTTTTGCTTAATGCTCCTAACTGTTCATTCCAGCTTTTGCTTAATGCCCCTAACTATTCATTCCAGCTT